TTCTGTAGTCCCTTCAAAAATGATATATATACATTATAACAATAAAAAAGATACATTTTAATTCAAAGAAAAATTGTGCTAATACTTACAAGCTATCGCTTTCTTGTTGCATAATGTCTTGTACGAATTCAACTTCAAATTCGTGTTGTGGTCCCAAAAGCATGCCAGTTTGCTTGTCATTATAAGCATCCAATGATGACCAAGACAAAGATGGGCTGTCAAGAACGTAGAGGAGGTAGGATGTGCAGTTGGTTAGATCTAGTATGGATCGTACATGGACGGTAGGTTGAGTCGGTTGATAAAAAAACCATTGTTATAAAGGTAAGATAGCATCATTGTATCCAACTTTTTTATCTCAACGATACTTTAATTCTTGTACTCAATGTTGAATCGTACACATGTATGAGCCTTTTTTTAAAAAGCAACAATAGCCAACACCCAATGAAACTTCCTATCTGAGTTCACCGGAATGTATACATCATCAACTAAATGTCATGGTAATTCGGTCGAAATGGAAAATTCTTTTATTATATTTTTAATTGACCTCTTGAATGCAGATACAATAGGCCCGTGCGCGCAATGTGCTCTTGCGTACTTAAATTATCATCAGGTGGACTGCAGTAGTACCTTGTGTGTGCATCATTAATAAATGTCTTGAATAAGTAATTGATTGTGGTGTGTCTGTATTTATTGGGGCTGCAGAGTTTTGACTGCTTTCTTAAGAAGTAAAAAACTACATCGGTGTGCTGCAACATAAATGAAAAATAAAACAAAATGTTAGTCAATATAATAGAGCACAACAATAACAAAATCATATAATGTACATTGTATGATTTGAGTTTGTATGCATTAAAAAGACTATAGTGATACAAAATATCAATTTATCATAAATAATGTATCTTTGTATCGTACCTCATCAGTCCAGTATTTTTTTAACTGAGATATGACATAAATTCAATTTTTATCCCTGAAAAAAGCAACTACAAAGTCCATGTGTTCAAATTCAAATGAAGTTGATTTGGCTTTGTATTTATCTGATATTTTTCTTTTTAGAAATATTAAAGTGTTACTTACTTGTTATCATGAGTTTTAAGGAGCTCCTTAGAAATTCACTTGAAATATTTTTTCAATAAATTTGACAGAGGTTGGTAAGAAATATCACATCCATCAAATGGGGAGCTCGGATGAGCAACTTCTTCAAACTTCTATTTTTCTTTGTCACTGGACCCAAATTCAGTCAAATAAGGTTACTTCAAAATCTTTGATGGCATTCTATTTCGTTGAACAAGGGTCTCTGATTGTTCATACACGACCATCTCATTGCCCGATGTTTTCATGGATAACTTACTGTCCAACACCGGTTGATGTGTTTCAGTTAACGGATCTGACTTGACAACACTCAATGGTTGAACATTCAAAGGAGTTTGAAAGCTAGAAATAAGTGTCTATAGCTTCTTGGGTTCTAGAAGAAATGAATGTCGATGTGGTGGAATTCTATATTTTTTGAGCAATAATAAAAAAATTGTATCATTCAATAACCAATAAACACGCGACGAATATATTTAGAATTTACCGATGTGTCAATGTTTACTGACACTTTATCTGTAAGTGAGATGTTATGTTGCAATTTATCAGCAACATCTTGATCCACAGTTACTTGTTCAGATTTTTTGGTGCCAACCTCTACTACATCATCCTGATTTATTATAACAAAAAAAATTGTTATAATGATACAATGAATTATAAATAGATTTATACATAAACTTGTACTTATAATAATTTCCTTGGATACATCCTCGTCGGCTCTTTTATCATTTAATGTATCATCATACTATGTATATTAGTATATAAGTCATAATAATGTATCAAAAGTTGACACTAATACTACATCAGTTGTGAATAAATATTTTTTTGAAGTATCAACATAATGTATCTAAAAAAATTAAGAATGTATCATAAAATTCAAGCTTTAATTGGATGATTGATCTAAATAGTATATAAATCATAATAATGTATCAAAAGTTGACACTAATACTACATCAGTTGTGAATAAATATTTTTTTGAAGTATCAACATAATGTATCTAAAAAAATTAAGAATGTATCATAAAATTCAAGCTTTAATTGGATGATTGATCTAAAATTCAAGCTTTATTTAAATAATTGTATATGATACTTACCTTACTCCCTCTACAACATCATCATGAGTGGTTATACAATAGATTTTGTTATAATGATACATTGAATGAGTAAATATGTCATATACATAAACTTATACTTACAATAACTTCCTTAGATACACTTCCTTCAGCAGGAACATTGTCACGATCCAGGGGTACACTCTAGACGTAACATGACATACAAGACCCCGAGAGGCCTCATACAAGCCACTCAGCTTTCATAACATAAGATAATAGAATTTAGCGAAAATTTAAAACATTTTCAACAATATCAAAGTCTTTATAAAACGAAGCAGAAGTCTAATACACTTGTCTCAAACCATCTAAAACATGAATATCTTTGGGACATAGCCCATACAATAGTTCAAACATAAAATGCAAGACATAAAAAAATGATGGTCAAATCCTCAAATGCTACGAGAACTCACCAATCTTCAAATCTTGCTCTACTATGATCCTAGACACGGGAATGGAAGTTGATATCGTTGGACCCTACAATTGGATAAGAAATGTAGGCAAGAGTATGCGTTAGTACAAAAATGCACTAAATATGATAGTTTGCATAAATAACAACATAGGCATAACATAAGCATTAGTCAACACATAAGACATAAGTCATAAGCATAAGAGTTAGACAATATAAGTCATAAACATAATCAATGCACATAAATCATCATAGAGTAAGAAGAATACTTCTTGAAGTAACCTCAACTTATCCTTAATCAAGACTTGGGTCATCCACCTCTAGTTATACATATCAAGGAAGGCAATCAAGCAACAATCCAAGCTAATCATCATCATAACAAGCAAACCTCAAATTAAAGCATATTTACGATACTTCCTTGAAGTAACCTTGTTACATCATAACTTTGCTAACTTGATTAGGGACTAGTTCCTCTTTAGCTTTTTCTACTATCCATGAAAGAGTACTACATTACTAATCCAAGCTAAGTCATTATCCATGAATGATTACTATTTACCAATTCAAGGCTATCAAGGAAAAGCACCCCATTGCTAGACCAAGCTATCATGGAAAACACCTTCTTATGCAAGTCCAAGTTATTCAAGAAAGGGTACTATTGCTCAATCCAAGCTACCAATGAAATGGTTTGGCCTTACCAAGTCAAGCTACCATGCAAAGCATCCTATCATGCTTAGTTCAAGCTAACCATTGGAAGGGTACTATTGCTCAATCCAAGGCTATCCATGAGATCTACTAACTCAAGCTATCAAGCATGATCTTGTCTTACCAAGTCAAGCTATTCATGAAAGAAGCATTTCATTATGCTAATTCAAGCTAAGTCTTATCAATAATAGTTCATAGATTCTTTGATTCATTTTAGGTGAGCAAGTCTTTCAACCTAGAATCATTCTATGTGAGAAAACCTTTGACATTCATGCATTCATACAAACATAGAGTAGATCATGTGGGTACATCCTTCCACAACAATTCTATCTACAATTCAACAATCGTCATCTAGTTTTACTCTCAAATGCCTACTAATCATCATTCATCATACATACTTTAGTCTCAAGACAATTTTAATCGCAAAACCTACAAGTCATAATTCATCATGTATACTTTAATCTCAATCAATTCATATCTACATGCTTTATCCTCAATCAATTCATGTTTATATACTCTAATCTCAAGCAATCTACAATGTATCTCCTCAATCCTAGAAGAATACATCTAAATCCTCAATTTCTCCTTTCATGGCATAAAATTCACTTACATCAATTTCATCTTTCTAGACATGGGTTAGGCATGAGTACATGTAAATTCATCCTAAAAACATGTAATTTTATCAATTCAATCATAAGTAATCATAATCCACTCAATTAGATCAAAACCCATAACATTAGAAGAAACCCCAACTAGAATTGGTGAAATCTTCTTCTAAATTAGGGAAAACCTGGAGGCTCCATGGATGAAAAGCTATCATACCTTGTTAACAAAGCCTACAAATGCTTGAGGATTGGAGAGTTGACCTTGATCCTAGCTTGAACTCTTTCTTCTTCTTTAAGTTTTAGAGAGAAATACTTAAGAAGAAGAGCTTTGGGATTTCTTTTGGGGATTTTGAAAATAATGACTTGAATCGGTGAATTTAGGGGTCAAAATCATTTATATAGGTGTCCTAGACTTGGGTAAAACAACACCATTTTTATTTAATTAAAACCAAAAAAGACCCATGTGCCCCTAAAATAACTGCCAACTCGCAATCGACAGATCGTCGACTGACTTACCGTCTGTCCTGGTCAAGCGTCGTTTGATTCAGTGAATTTTGGCTTTTTTTTGGGCCTGGACCACGAATCGTGATCTAACCGACGGTCTGTTGGTCAGGCTATAGTTCCATGACTTCTGAAATTTTGGGTCTAAGCCGAAGTGATCAACCACGGACCCACCTACGATTCGTGGTCCCAATCACGGCTGTGGTTGGCCACCGTCGGTTGGCACTTGTAACTTTCTAAATCTGTTGTTTTATCTCTTTTCGAATTCAGGGTGTTACAAACATCTTTTGTGGATGGAGGTTCTGATACATCATCTCTGCCTCTTTGATCCTTTAATGTATCAGCATTCTATGTAGGTTAGTATATCAATGAAATAATAATGAGTCAATAGTTGAAACTTATACTACATTATTTATGAATAAGAATTTTTTGAATTTTAACATAATGTATCTAATACACTTATGAATGTATCATAAAATTCAAGTTGTGGTCGAATGATTAAATAATGTATCATGAAGTGTTAGATACTTTTGAGTATTTGATACTTTAAATGAATGCATGTGATTCTTACCTCTCTGACCTCATGTTGTTATACGTGTGTTTGTTCTTCAGCCTCTATATCAGCATTATCGACGAGGTTGTTGTTGGCAAACTCCATATCAATTGGAGACCTTGGTTGTTCAACAAATTGATCAGTAGTTTGGGGTTGATTAACATTGGCTTCTTGGATTAACTCTTCCTCCGTGATTGGAATCGATCTGACAGAAATTTTCTTCCAGCCAAAAAAATACCACATAATGAAAAAATAGCTTTACAAATAGTAAATATTTGGTTAATAACAAGTACCTTATGTTTTAGCTTCTGAAATGCTTTCATCAGATCTGAGTGATTATTTTTTATTAAGACTTCTAAATCATCAAACTTTTTGTCAACCTTTAAACATACTTAAATAAGTTAATATTGATTTACTGTAGAATAACTAATAATTTAATAATAATTATGAGAATCACTTACATATTCCTTCAGATATTGCTTAACTTCTTCGATATCTGTATTTTTCTTTTCTTTAGGATCAGATGAAGGACCATGAAGATCAGGAACATTACCAAAAGATTCTGGAATAGAGAATGACTCTTTTTGTATCACGGGAGACTGTTCTAATTGTTCCATTGCACTACTTTTTGGTTTGGCCAAATCAACTTTCTTTCTTCTTTTCGGGGGTGGTGTAGATGAGGTACTAGATACACATCTAGTTCTCCTTAAAAACCTATCAGGTGGTTTAGAAGAAAAATTCTCAAATCCAGGAACGTCTTCTAATATAGCTTGTGTAGATTTATCAGTAGACGTAGAATGTTCAGAATAAGAGACACGCATATTGTCAGGCAAATCAAGTACCGCCAATTCCTCAAGAGTCGGTTGTATATTGGTACATGCATTCTAAATCAAATTTGTAAAGTCAGCATAACAAGCAGATTTGCAACTTGAGATATATAAAAAATGATAGTTACCTCAGTAAAAATACTAGACATGAACATTTCAAATTTGGGCTTGACACCAACAACTCGCCAGTTGCGTATCCTAGGGATGTAGTCTCCCTCTTTAACAGCAGTTTCATCGTTGATAACTGATGCACATTCATATACCCACACATTTAGAGCATAGGGCATGCCACCTAAACGATACATCTGTTTTACTTTAGTTCTCTCTTGCCTCCATGAATTCATTAACCTGAAAAATGCACGCTGACCCCAAGGAAAATGTTGATATCTACCATCTTCAACCATTAGAAAGTCATTAACATGGATAGATGCATCAGAGAGTTGTGATAAAACAAATGTGTTGATGAAGTAAAGAATTCCCATTTGGAAAGCATCCTGACTGTTGTCCCAACTACCTTGTAGAAAACGTTGAACAAATCGTCCCTTGCTCACACTACTATACTTTACTAAATCTGGGAAATATCTTTGAACAAGCCTGCTTTTAGTAGAATTCGGATATTTAAAGTCATCGGGATTGCCTGTGCATTTCAGACCGGTTATTATTGCGAATTCTTTTATAGTGAAACACAATATGTTCCCATTTGCATGCCGAATATGTAGCTCATTTCTGTTATCCTGCTCAAGCTCAAGAAACAACAAGCATTTTGATATTTGACCCTGATAATTGCAGGTATGAATGTCTAGGTATGGCCCAAAAATAGAATTTTTAAACAACTCAAGACCCTCGACACCCATGTACAGATTCAAATCTTTTATAAAATCAATGTTGTATGTTGGACCAAACTTCAAAGAGTGAGTTGGAATTTCTTTGATCACATACTTCAAAGACTGTAATGGACAAAAAACAATAACAAACAGTTACATATTATTCTAGAATAACAACATGCTAAGAATGATACAAAAAAAAAATGATTACACATGATACACTAATTGTCAACATTTATACATGATACACTAATTGTCAACATTTATACATGATACATTAATTGTCAACAGTTTACTTTGATACAAACATTGCCAACACTTATACATGATACAAAAATCTTACCAATATTTAATATCGATACAAAACAATGACATACAGATAAATAATATAAATCTGAAACAAAAACTAATAGAATTTTGACTGATACAATAATTAATATGAAACTAATGTATCATATACACACACGGATAAACAAATCTTGAATGATAAATTATTGAATATTATTTTGTATCAAATGACATGAGATCTAATGACTAATACACAACTAATAATATTATAATACTTGATACAAAATATATTAAAAAATTAACAGAATTAGGGTTAGTGAATCAACTGATTAAAGATAATAGTGATACATTAAACTACGAAACATGAATTTAGTGGCTTATGTATCATCTATTGATTAACTAACAAAAAAAGTTTAAAAATCGATAGAAGAAGATCGAAAACCTAACCTTAGGTAATGAAGGTCGAGAAATTGTAGGAGCAAATTTTCGACCCCTTTTTTGGGAGGATTTTTGAACCTGTGCTTTCGAAGAGGAAGTTTCATCTTTTTTCAACTTCCCAACTTTTGTCTTCGCCATTATTAATGGATCGTGGAGCTTTTTTGATCTGTTTTCAGCCCACTCAATATCTTCGTAATCATAAATACGACGAGTGTTAATTGATGGTGCATCATCCATCTGATTGATTCAACAATTAGGAGAAGAACAAAAAAATGAAAAATAAAGTCACAAAACGGTTTAATAAGATGGAAAGAACTATCAATTTCAGTTTAGATTAGGTTTGACAAAAAAGAAACTTGATTTTGAAAAGTGATAGAGAATTAACTGTCAATAAAATGGAGAGAAAATTAAGGAGTGAAATCAAGAAGTGATAAAATTTGATTTTTGGAGTTGAGATTTATCTATCCGGAAATTTAGATTTAGGAGTAAAATAAGGGATTTTAGAATTTTTTAGAAATGGGAGGGAATATTGAAAATTAGGAAAACAAAAGATGTGTATAATGGTAATTTTTCCTACAATTTATTATGATTGCATACATCAATATAGGGAAAAGGAACAAATACCCCAAACTATCGTAAATGGTATGCAGATACCCTCTGTCATACTTTTGAGACATTGGTGCCCTTGCCGTCTAAAAGCTAAAGCATACATACCTTTTATACTAACAGACTTACACGTGTCATAATCTTATCCACAGATCCGACATATATTTAATATCGAATCGACAAATAAGATTATGCACATGTCCCTATTTAGTCTTCCATTAGAGTAAAGGACATATATGCTCTAATTTTTGGACAGGGTATATTTGTCCTTTTCCCTATCGAAATTAAGTGAACGCATACAATCTATAACAACCTGATAATACACAAGTTCCGAACTCACATTTCCAAGTATAAATTAAGGAATTTTCTATAGCAAAGATTGAAAAATGTATTTTCTATTTTCAATAACCTTCAAAGAATTTCAAGAACCAAAAGTCCAAAAGTAACTATGTGCCGGCCTTTTTTTTTCTTCCTGTTAAGAGCCAGTGCAAAAATTCAAGAAATGGGGGTTAACCTAATGCAATTTAACCTAAAACTAGAATGTGACTTGAGCATTTACAGGGTTAACTCCTTATGAGAAGTCCAGGCCTCGACGAGGCTGAAAATCAAAATCATCTACCTCGCTTATCGATCTCTTCATTAAGAAGCCGAGTCATTAAACCTTGATTAGGGGTCAAATTATTGGTTTTGAGAAGATTGTTCAATGCATGAAGTTCTTCACAGTTTGCCTTCTTAAGTAGGCCACTCAGAACTGTATCAACTCCAGTAGGATCATTTGAGATCTCGGATTTTATATTGAGTTTTGAACGGTCCACAACTAGGGAAGATTGTACTGTCTGCATCAACGGTTTAGATTTCCAGAATTCAGAACATACCCGGTTTACATCCATATCTTGAATGGCCTGCATTGATATGAAAAGATAATGTCAAGACGAGATCTTTTAAACTTCCCTTAAACTTTCATTTTGTTCCGCATTTTTTTTATCCATAAGATAATAGGCAACTGAAATTTTTCTCAAGATTCGAAGTTAGTGAATCCTGGATCTAATATTAATTTCAAGAATATATGTGAAAGAACCTGTACAATCTCTGTTGTAGAAAAACCAAACATTTCCATGCCCTCAACACTTCCAGGTGGTTGCAAAGGCAGAAGCTTCGGCTTTCCCAACTTATGTTGCTTTAATATTTCTTGGTTCACTCTCTCGCGGACCATATCCCAGCATTTGACAGGGGACAAGTGAACAAACACTTCACTGGGACAACGCTCAAGTGAAACCTGCAAGTTCATTTATCTGCTTAAAAAGAGACACTAGAAAGGCAGGAAATAGCATAACAATATGACACCACAACAGCATGAATAACCAAATAATACACAGATATAGAGATGTCAACTAAGCTGGCACATGAAGGAAAACCAAAAAAAGGGCAAAACAGGGAAAGCCGTGAAGTAACCCTCAATACTGTAGGCTTTGAATGTTATACCAATACAAGACTAATTCATGTAAGCTAATATAGACCTCTGGTCTGAAGGGATGAAAACTTGTAGCAGTCAAACTTGCCCTTACAGCAAACTACAACCAAAGAAAAACTCACAAAGCTTTTGAAAGAAATAATATCTGACTTGTAGCCAATACTTGGAAATCTGCTGGAGAGATAGCAAAGCTTCATGGAGAAACCCCTTGATGATAAATGTTTAATAGACATGTTATCAAACTAACAAGAAAATGAAGTGCGGCTCAACTCTACATGGAAAACTTAATGCAGAAGAAACATGAAAGGAACTGCGGCAGAATTAAGTGCACCAAAATATCCCAAAATAAGAATTAAAATGCCACAGGCACACACAAAAATCAAAATCTGACAAATAGCTCCATCCAAACAAAATATCCAATACCATAAACAGTGGACCATCTCGTCCTGCATCTACAACTTCAGAAACATAGTGAGACATATTTGTTGGATCTAAAACATCAATGTATCTGACCCGGCTCCTGAATCCTGCATTTAACAAAAGAACAAAGTTGTCTATCATTACTTCTACTCTAGTAGAGTAAAAATAATACAATTATTCAACATGTATTATACCCTTGGGATAAATAACCCGGTTGTCACACCATAACTTGCCAGGCTGGATAACTCCATAATCCAGAGGTTCCACATTGCAAGAGAGTCTCCTCACCACTTTTGCAATCCGAGGACCTTTCTGGCGAAAACCTCTGTCCAAATTGTTTTGAGAGACGGGAGAGTCACCTGATAAAGGTTGTGCACACTCCATGGCCTTATTTTGACTACCTTCTTTATTTGGTTTACAGTCGAATGGTTGCCGGGACTGGGGACAAGTATCTGCATCTCTGATATTACCGCCAGAAGTACCTTTTGTAACCTGAGGGCCTTGGGCATGTTTATCAATATCCATATTTACAAACAAACCTCCAACGAAAGAATGAGTATCTTGATTAGGTCCACGATGTATTTCATCTTTTGAATTATCCTCAACTTTCATGCTCTCTGAACTAGGTGAACCATTAATTCCATCTTTAGTGACTCTCGCATTATCAATGGATGTTGTTGGGACAGGTTTATCACTGTTACCCATGTTCACTGTCAGCTTTCCCGCAGTATCTTTCGAATGAATTGAATTGTCCATCTCATCTCCCTCATCATCACTGAGAAGGATCACAACATCATCAAGACTAGAAGTTCCCTTCACTTCACATTTATCTGTTGATAATTTTTTATGACACGAACCACCCTCAACGGACAGCTGAGTAACTGGAGTTCTATAAGCAGGAACCACCTTTAAGGATTCGCTTTTGCCCTGGAAGCCATTCTGTGCCCCCTCAATTCCATGAGAAGTGTTGTCAGGCATAGAAGACGCCTTGATTGATTCCAAAGCTAATGGCTCCCTGGATTGTTTCTCTTTATGCAATGAAAAAGCACTGCTGCTGGCCCTCATCAAGAGTGCTGAAGTTCCATCATCTTTTTCCTTTTTCGTGGAAGCTATAGAGAGTCCTACGCTTGCCTCTTTTAGCACTGATTCCTCAGGTTTAAGAGATAATTTACTAGCACTCCCTGCAACTTGTCTCTCTTTATTTACATAAGAACTCAAAGCCAATCCAAGATCTTGTCTTGCCCATCGATAAATTGCACTCAATTTCCCTTCTAAAGCATCAACTAGTACATTTAATTCATTGATGTCATAACGGAAGAGGAAAAATTTGGCACCCCAGGAACAAGTACACAGTTGTTTTGCATGGTTCAAGCATGCATATTTGTCGGGCGAACAATTGTGACAGCCCGCGGCGGACAGGTGTAGATCAAAAAAACACACACTACATTCCCTCTCATTAGTAGCATCAAAAGTGCTCTCCATCTTTAGTGCTTGTGAAGAATTGCAAAGAAACTCCCTCCTGACTCTCTCCATCTCAACACGGTTCTGCACAAAACATAACTCAGCAGTGAAGTTGAATAAAGAGGTACTTGACTCAGTAACATAATTTATATGAACATAGAACTTGAATGTGGTGTAAGTGTGACAACCTCTATAAGTATCAGTCTAACCCCAATAACCCCGCACCCCCATCTCTTCTCTTTTTAAAGAATACAAGGAAGAAGATAGGAAAATATACCCTCAATGCAACAGAAAATGGAAATGGAACTAAGGACTATCAATCGATAGAATATTGGTGTCATTATGTGCACATTTGCCTAAAGACTGCAGCTATTTTATCCAAAAAATTCTACCTTTAATGCTTTGGACAAAACTCCATCTTTTCCGCAAACATCTTTCCATCTTAAATTATTTGAGGTATTCTTCCTCAATAAATTAAGTTCCCAGTGCGCTTTGACTGCATCTCGAGCTGCTCCTAATAATAGTTTATCATGGGATATGGAAGTTTTCCGGCCTTGCTCGCGGTAATGCTCAATTGCATTCTGTCCGTGGGGTAACCAATCAACAGGAGCAACATTTACTGCTTCAGCACAATTGAAGCCACAATTGAAACCAGCATGATATGCTCTTGGGAAGGTCAAAACAAACTCTCCAGGATTTTGGACACAACGATAAACTGGGACTCCCTCAGACTTCAATATGGAGGGAGATAGTTGTGTAACCTGCATAAATAACAGGTTATTACTAAACAAATAAGCCACCTATAAGAAGATGTTCCAACTTCTGTGAAGCAAATTAACTGTCACAGATTTGTAAAGAATAATCTACTACATGACTCATCAGACAGATCCTCCACAAGAAGAGTAAGATTTACAGTAAGACAGTTTCTTGTTTACATTTCAATTTGATGAGAACCCTATAGCATTGCAACACTATGAATGGGAGCACATATCACCTATAGCTCACAACCCTAAAAAGACGTGGCCGTAGAAGAGGTCTTCAGCAAATTAAGTCATTCTTGAACAGGGATTACCAACAAAGAGACATGTATTAGGACTCAATTACTTTTTTGATCAAATGAAGATTGGGCTCACCAGCTTGTGAAGAAGGTCAGGCTGCTCTTCAAAGAGATCAGGCAAGTGTTTCCTCATGGCAGCCTCCAACTTTGATGCATCTGCTCCAGGCACACCATACCACATTTTTGGAGCCCCAAAATGCATGTAATTTAATGAGTATAAAT